TATCCGGCGAACAGATATTAGGGCCAGACCATCAAGGCGCTTCTGAGCTGTGCGGTATGACTCATTACAGTGTCGAGAAGCTGCGTTCTACTACAGCTGTATTCACTGGGACCGTGGCCAAGATTTTGAGAAGTGTGTAATTGTTCGGAAAGAGGGCTTTGTAGCACTCAGCTAAAGCGTCCGTCGCAGATCGAGAAAATTCATTATTTTGCAGGGCTTGCCTTTTAGTTTTCCAGATTTCCTTTTCACTTTTCAGTGTACGGATATGAGCTGTTGTCATATCTCTCGGGTAAAAATCGAAAGCCGGCTGCACAGATTCAAATTTGCCTTTGGAGGCATGCTTTGGAAACACAGATTGCAAACTTAGCAGTGTCTTACAATGGTTTGCAAAGTGCCGTTTGAGAAGCTTTCAGGTCATCTATGCACAGAATGAATGAGGCTCGCCTGTAGTACTCTTCTGCAGAACTGCAATCATAGTTTGTCCAATATTTTTAAGTTCCTAACACTCGTAGAATCTCGCACTTCACTCGAAACTCCGCCACTCTGTTTTCACAAAGAGAAAATATTTTGTGGAATCCTGCCTCCGCGCTAGTTCCCATCTCTTCCAGCTTAGTCAGCACCAAGTCAACAAGCTCCAAGGCGACGCCTATGTCAATAGATGGGATCTGCTGATACACGGACAAGTGGTGTGTGAGGCCTAGGATTTCTCACTAACAGTTAGTCATATAGGAAAGTAGTTGGGTAAAAAAATTCACTGATGGAGGCAATAATAGAGTTCCCCACAATCATACCTAGAGGGAACTGTGGTGCCACCATCTGTGCAAATTTTGAAACGCTGGGAATGACAGTATGCATCTGCGAGGCTTGTGTTGGCTGATGTTGAGTGAGGCTTAGGCTCAAAAGCGAATACAACTGCGTAAATAAGGCTTCTCTGAAACAAAATGTTTATACATATGCGAATCTCATTCACGCGTATTATATTCTAAAATGAAAGTCCACTTGCCTTGATGGCACAACCGAATGACCAAAGCAAGAAACAGACAACATAAAAGTGGCGGAAAGAACGCTCGCTTTGTCATCTGCCAGCCAAGTTTAGCGGCAGTTGTTTACTTCTTGCGCTTCGTAAAATTGTACATCAATGTAGAAGGTTTTAGTGCTAAATAAAACACGTTTCTGTGCAATCGCAAAAGTAAATTGCTTATTACGTGCTCTTTTAGTAAGAAATCAATCATTTTAACGTGAAGCAAGACGCGTCTTCGAGGTATGCAAATCCGAGTCAAGTTTGAAGCTCACATATTCCGTCATTCCCTTGCATCCAGCAGCTAACAGGCAGGTATGATTGTGAGAAACTCTATGGAGGTAATGAGCGGTGGACGCTATTGCTTTGTTACGGAAGGTGTCCATGAACTCAAGTGAGCGAACTATCTCAGAAAGCACTTCTCCAAACAATGCAACTGAATCGTGACGTTCTATATGCCTTGTTTCACAATATCGGCGTAGACGGTTCTAGATATTTTTTCAGGACTGCTGTGCTTTTGAGTGACACCCGAAAAAAAGTGCACACTTAACAAATTGTGCGAAGGGTCCGTCGAATGTCTTGGACAGCCGAGGCATCACTAAAACAAAGGCTGAGGAATCGCGACGAGCAATGGGTGTACAAAGCCAGTGGAAAGTCGTTCCGGATGAGCGCTTGCACCCCTGGAGATCAACGACACTCTTCCCTCCCATTTCACCTTGTCCGACTCGCATGCTGGGTCACCAAATACGGGGCTTCCGTCGATGTACAATAGACTAATAAATAGAGTAGCATAAACACTCATTTAACAGGTGGGTGTCTTAACGGTACAAATTGTTCACTATTTACTCTTTCCGAAGACAGAGGCAGCAGACAAAGAATCGTGGGGTTCGCATAGGCGCCAGTGGGGTCGAACAGGTTAATAGGTTGTCGAAGCCATCGTATTCTGTACTAAAGTTCACTTTTCCAAGCTATTTGGCTGCCTCCCTCGGTGGACGATCTTTGGCAATATGTAGAGAGCATGTGGTCGTAGGCTTGCGAGTCCCTAAGATGTTTTCTTTCCTGTACGGGCAATTGTTTTGCCGACGCCTCAGACATATGAGTGAGTGGCATTTCTGTTGTAGGGTTGATTCATGGGCAGAATGCTGAATTTCCCAGCGAGCATTGCCGTGCTTTCAGAAAAAAAAAAGTTCTTTGGTTGCTATTCTTCGTTTGTTCTTTGAATAGTGTTTGCTTTTCATTTGTTTGAATGCACACGCTGCTACATGTACTTGTGCCTCTATACTCTGGCGTTATTGGCTGACTGGATGAATGTAGGGGGGGGGCCCTAGGCGTCCCCTTGCCAACGTGCCTGCCATGCCATCCATCCCTCGCGGGTTCAAATCCCGGCTGCGGCGGCTGCATTTCCGATGGAGGCGGAAATGTCGAGGCCCGTGTGCTCAGATTTGGGTGCACGTTAAAGAACCCCAGGTGGTCAAAATTTCCGGAGCCCTCCACTACGGCGTCTCTCATAATCATATGGTGGTTTTGGGACGTTAAACCCCACAAATCAATCAATCAATCATCCATCCCTGCTTAGCTTCCAGTGCTTTCGTCGGCACAAGAGAAGAAAGAATGCAACTGCAGCGTGCAACAGGTCTTTGTAACTCCACTCATACTGTTTGAATTCTAAAAATTTTTGCAGCGGTGAGTGCGTGCGTCATTAAGCTCCTTTAGTGAATCCATTCCATGGCTACTCGAAGAAGTGCTGCAAGGCCCCTTTAATGGGACCGACAACTGATTTTTTTCGACACAGTTTTTCCCGGCGCGACTGAAAGCCTACCTTTTTCAGTATTCACAGGTGCAGTTCAGTTAAACCTGCTTATAACAAATCTCTATATAGCGAAGTTTTTATATTCCCGTTACTTCAGAGAAGCACATGTATTTGTGACCTCTATGCAACAAAGAAACAGCGGGAGACATCCCTGATATAACGAATTTACGCCATGATTATTCTAGGAAAACTACCGTTGTGTTGGCAGTGCCGCGCTTTCATTTAGCTTCACATATGTAGGGCCGCACTGAACGTCATCGGGGGCGACACCAGGTGCGCGCAAAACCATGCATCCGCACATGCCGTCAAAAACGAGCTTTATTTAATGCGAATAACTGTGTAATCACTACCAAGAGGATTTCAGATTAAGTGCTGATGAAAACTCTCCGAGACCGCGGTTACAACAGATCTTCGGAGGTTGACTTTTCATGCGCTTCCATACTCCGAGACCGTACCCTTCACGATTAGCCAATCAGCTCTGGCCTGGCAACAACACGACAGCGCGTTGAATCCAATGCAATAAATGTGATAGCAACAAACTGCAATGTTATACAAAGTAAGGCTGGCAGCAAACTCTTTTAGATACAATATCGCAAAACTCCTACAAAACTCTAAATATGGCTGCTTCAGGGAGAAGTATGGAAGCCCAGCCCAGCGATCTGCCGCAAATTATTACCTCTGTCTCTCAGAGAGAAGTGCTCTTTTCACAGTTTCATTTCTTTGAAAGTGCTCTCATGCTTGCTGAGATAGCATGTGTGCCAACAACTACAACCGCGCCCTTAAAATCAATGTTCACCGTTGCTACTCAAGCGACTCCCCCCTCCCCACCCTGTTTTTCATGCTCGTTCAAGACGAGTGGTTTCTATTCTGTTTGGGTATTCGACAGCAGTTCTAACATGGGGAGGGATGTTATCACTAAGCTTTCCAGGCGATAGAGATGGGCCAGCTTATTTGATTTCTGCTTCAACAGCATTCTCGTGCTTTTACCCGCTTGTAAAAGTTTTGATACGCGGGGGCATGTTATCAATTTGGACTTGTTACAGAACATGGCAGCAATGGCAACAGCCCGTCGAGAGTGTCCATATAATTGCTATCGCAATAATGATGCAGTTCTTCAACCGCCAAATAAGTGTTGCAGGTTATCTCTGCCTTCAGTTCCCCTTTGTTTAAAATGTACATTTATTTTTCGAACTTTTGTACTGAACCTGCATATAACAAAATTCTCTTTATAACAGATTTTCTGTTTTTTCGGGAATTTATTGATTTCGTTATATCCAGGTTTAAATGTAGTTACTCCCAAACGCAAGTAGTTATTTTATAAGCAGTATTTTTCAATTTGAAAGGCTCTGAGCACCGATGTGCCTTTTTGCCTAGCAATGCTGAGAATTGATAGCAATGCCGGAAGCTCTTCTGTCAACCTGTGCACGCTGTCATTGTTCTGCTTTCGCAGGAGTTCCTGTAACTATGCTCGACCACATTTATTCGGTGCTTTACAACTATTTTTAAAAATAAGCGGTTAAAGTAAGACGATGTGGCTTTATACAGCTTCCCAGTATTTGTACTGCATTGCGTGCACCTGCGCCCAAGGTTGATGTGCCTGTGTCGTGGATGGCTTGTCCCATCACTCTTACTCTCTCGACAAAGAAGCCACCAAAAACGTCACTGCACGTCATTGTGTAAGTAAAAAAACGTCACTCCAAAATATTAGCGACCTGAAAACTGCGTTACGGTTTCGTGAGCACGTAGAAAGTTGCTCAAGACTCGCTGACCAGCATGAGATCATTACGTCATGCGACGGCAGCGCCCTTTTATTACGCACTACTAATGAAGGCCTATAAATACATTTTTATAGATGAATATTTTTTACTATGAAGAAGCAAACAATGTTTCAATACTAACAGAAAAATTGTTCACCGCGTACACTAGTTTACGGTTACATGACAGGGCAGTTCCAATACTTAAAGATGGTGCCACCAGGTGGCACCACAGGCTATTTTTGCTATTTTCAATGAAGAAATGAAAAAAAAAAAAACTCCACTTCTCCCAAGAAAAATAGGGTTGGTTAGAGCCACTATGAGGGACAATCTTTCCAAAAGTGCAGTCATCTCATTTTATGTTCTGGGCAGTTGTCGGTCCCTTGAAATACAACAATGCTAATGATGATATGCTCACCTTTAGAACAGCAGAGTTGCCACATGGCCTGAGAATCTCAATCGACATGTCCACGAATTGCCTTTGTAAACTGCTGATGAATGCATCCACATTCCTGCAAGGAACCAGTAGGGTTCAATACAAACGCTGAAACCATGCATACTATTCACACATAAAATTTGCAAGATTTTGCTAGATTCCATATAGACAAGCAGATGGCAAGCCCATTGAGCTCAAACCAATTTTATTTCTTTTTTTTTTTTGCCCAGTAAAAATAGAAAGCCTCTGGGTGATTCCACGTAAGATTGAACAAATGATGGCCGGTCTACCTTTCATTTTTATATAAAAATTTCATATATTCTTATAAAATGAGACGTTTTAGAGCGGCACTCTTTTATAAAACAGGAGAGCGGTCACGACAAGTAAAGTGGTAATGGCAGAACCAGCCTGTGTACCAAGCCAACCAAACGGCGTCTTCTTCACAGACTGAGTGATACCCCCTGCCTATCTGAGTAGCACTCATCTTCTTCACAACATTTTCCTCCCCTCCGAAATAGAGCCATCCTGGCGACTCATGGGCAGGAGACAATAGAGGGATCGTAATACGGTTTTAGGCGGTCAATGTGGACGGTGTCACGTCCACGGCGTCATTCATCATAGCTCAAGTGGCTCCACGATGTAATTGACAGGTGAAGTTTGTTTAACCACATGGTAAGGGCCGTTATACTTGTACATCAGTTTCGTTGAGAAACCAGGACTGGTTGAAGGGATGCGAAGCCAGACAAGGTCATCCGATGCATAAGAAGCCGGAGGCGTCGGGCTATCGCAGCGGTGTTTCTGGTGTTGCTGTTCAGCCTTTGTGAGGGAGCGGGCAAGCTGACGACACTCTTCCGCATATTTAGCAGCTTGTGACATCGTCGTCGACTCAGCAACATCCGGGCAGTAAGGAAGAATGATGTCTAGTGTGCAAGAGGGCTCGCGATCATACAGGAGGAAGTATGGAGAGAAACCAGTGGTTTTCTGGACAGCAGTATTATGCGCGTATGTTACAAAAGGGAGAATACTGCCCCAGTTGGAGTGATCGGTTGCGACGTACATTGACAGCATATCTCCTAATGTACGGTTGAATCGTTCTGTAATGCCATTAGTTTGAGGATGATATGCGGTGGTTGTGCGATGAATGACTTGGCATTCCTTGAGAAGCGATTCGACGGTGTCCGACAAAAACACACGCCCTCGGTCACTCAGGAGTTCACGTGGTGCACCGTGACATAAAATGATCTGATGCAATATGAAACGACCGACGCCACTTGCCGACGTCGAAAAGAGTGGTGACGTTTCTGCGTAGCCCGTAAGGTGATCGATAGCGACGATTACCCAGCGATTTCCAGTCGGTGTAATCGAAAGAGGTCCATACAGATTGATACCAACACGATCAAACGGTTGGGCAGGACAAGGTAAGGGCTATAGTGGAGCTGGAGAACTTGGAGTGGGATTCTCCCGGCGCTGGCACGCGTGACAGGAACGTACGTAGCGACGAACGAAGCGATACATTCCACGCCAGTAGTAGCGGTGGGACAGGCAGGCGTAGGTTTTTAACACTCCAGCATGGGCTCATTGTGGGTCGGCGTCAAAGGAGGCGCATATGTCTGAGCAGAGACGTCTGGGAATAACTAGGAGCCATTGGCGTCCTTCGGAGGGATAATTCCGTCTGTATAGCAAACCACCTCTGATAACGATGTGCTGTATTTGATGGCGCGTACCTCTAGGGATATTTTGCAAGAGAGTTCGACTTAACAAACTAATAAGTGAAGCGATCCAAGGATCTTTTCGTTGCTCCTGTAGCATGTTGCTGACACTAAGTGCAGATATGTCGAGGGCAAGCGAAGACTGCGACATGTCACTACATTGTAGAGGTGATCGGGACAAAGCGTCTGCGTCGGAATGTTTTTGCCCAGATCGGTAACTGATGTGAATGTCGTACTCTTGTAGCCGAAGCGCCCAACAGGCGAGCCGGCCGGTGGGATCTTTTAACGAGGAGAGCCAACATAATGCATGATTATCTGTAACCACGCTGAATGGGCGCCTGTAAAGATAGGGTCAAAACTTGCCTATGGCTCATATGATAGCTAGACACTTTTTTTCGGAGACTGAATAGTTGGCTTCTGCTTTTGTGAGTGTACGGCTGGCATAAGAGACGACGTACTCATGAAATCCGGGTTTACACTGGGCGAGCACAGTACCGAGACCAACTCCGCTAGCATCCGTGTGTATTTCCGTCGGGGCAAGAGGATCAAAATGTCGCAGAATAGGAGGTGATGTAAGAAGGTGGCGGAGTGTGGCGGAGTGTGGCGAATGCATCATCACAAGCTGACGACCAACTAGAAAGGTCGCTGTACCCGGCAAGAAGGTCAGTCAAGGGCGATATGATGGAGGCGAAGTTGCGAATAAAACAACGAAAATATGAACATAAACCAAGGAAGCTGCGAAGTTCTCTTAAGTTGTTCGGCTTAAGAAATTCGGCAACGGCACGGAGATACAACATGACCCAAAATTAGGAGTTTTCGAGCGCCAAAGCAGCACTTCAAGTTGAGCTGTAGACCGGCGGATGTGAGGCAAGTAACCACTGTCTCGAGACGCTGAAGATGCGTTGAAAAGTCGCTTGAAAATATTAAGACATCGTCTAAATAACACAGACATGTCTGCTATTTCAGGCCACGGAGGATGTCGATCATGCGCTCGAAAGTGGCAGGCGCATTGCAGAGCCCGAATGACATGACATTAAATTCGTATAGGTCATCGGGGGTAACGAAAGCCGCCTTGGGGCGATCAGCCTCAGCCATGGGAACCTGGCAATAACCTGAGCGCAGATCTAGTGACGAGAAGAACTCTGCGCCTAGTAAGCAGTCAAGGGCATCGTCTATGCGAGGTAGCGGGTGAACATCTCTGCGCGTGATTTTATTCAACCGCCGGTAGTCGACACAGAATCTTATTGAGCCAACCTTTTTCTTGACTAGAACAACTGGGGAGGCCCACGGGCTGTTAGAGGGCTCAATAACGCCGCGCTTCAACATGTCAACTTGTTCCGCGATTATACGACGTTCAGATGCCGATACCCGATACGGACGCTGACGTAATGGAGCGTGAAGGCCAGTGTCGATTTGGTGAGATACTGTGGAAGCATGGCCCAAAGTCATTTGCTGGTGACCGAAGCTGGCGCAGAGCGCTCGAGGAGGGTGATGATGTCACGCGCTGCTGGGCCTTAAGGTTGGTGTCGATGCAGCGCGAAATTGCGTCGGTGAATGATGGGGAAGAGGTTGATGCGCAGCAATCAACAGCGTCAATAGGTAGCATAGTTGAGTGGTTAGAAACTACACATGCACTCGAGAGATCAAAGTCATCGGCAAAGCCCAGGCACTCTCCGCACAGTAACTTGGAAGGCGAGGGAAACGGATTTGAAACATAAATTGCACTTGATCCAACGTGAATGTTCAGAACGGCGAAAAGAATCAGGAAGCACTTGCGGTGCACAGCGGTTTCAGAAGGCATAAAAAGAACAGTTGAGCCACTAGAGACGTCACAGGAAAGCGTAACTAGGGCGGATGAGAATGGGGGTATCGAAGTGTCGGCGGCAACGAAAACTTTCGCAGGTGAAAGGGGTGAGCCGAGTGAAGCAGCGTCGCATAACGGCGCGAACTCCACTTCGGCGCGAGCACAGTCGATGACGGCAAGATGAGTGCAGAAAGTCCCAGCCTAGTATACTGTCATGGGAACACTGCCGGAGACAAACTCGACTACATAAATATCGTCAGCAATAGCGACACGTGCTGTGCTTGCAGCAAAAAGGTGAATTCGTTGCTCGCAGTGCTCAAAACGAAGTCGTAAAGAGGCATTGTGACTTTTTTTAGTCGACGGCAAAGTTTTTCAGTCATTACAGACACTGCGGCGCCAGTATCGACCAATGCAAAAACAGGTATACCTTCAACGGAGACAGCAACGACGTTGGACGGAAAAAAACAAGGTCTTGTGAAGTTCGAACGATTCGCAATTCTTGCCCCTGGAACTGCGGCTCCTAGTTTTCTTCAGGCACAGGGCGAGGTCGACGTAGCATATGGGAAAGGGAACAGCAATGAGGTGAAGGCGACCGGTCTCTAATGAAGTTCCAGCGAGGTGAAAATGTGTCCATGGTGGCAGGCTTGCCCGATACAGCAGGCTCAAGTCGTGGTGGGAAATCATAAGTGTTGGGCCGGACGTCGTCACGCAGGAAAAACTCACGCCGTCAACAAAATCGTGCCATGTGACCCGGAATTCCACAGGCGAAGCATATGGGGCGGTTGTCTTGAGTGCGCCAAGGGTTTTGAAAGCGTGGTGGTGGTGGTCGGGAGTGTTAGATGTGGGAAGGAAGATGTTGCAGGTGATGGCATCCGGATGGAGGAACTGAACGCCGACAAGAGGATACGAGAAACATAACAGAGGTTTATGACATTATTTACACATATTTACAGAAAAGAAGGGATAGTGGTTTCACAAACCACGAGCGTGGTGGTTGAACGTTACATAGTTCAGAGCCCAATGTCCAGCACTCTGCCGCGTCGTTTTATGCCCTGTCGGGCTCCTCCTCTCAGATTCGAACACCAATCACGTACACACAGGTGAGGGGGGGCGAGCATGCAAGGTCCACGTGAACACTGCACGGTGGTGGCGCCAGCAGGGCTCTTCCGCGTCATGTGTGTGCCGCCACTCGAGAGTTCCCCCGATCCTGGCAGCATACTTCAAAGGGTCCGCCGATTTTGTTCGCTCAATTAGCGGGGTGATTTGCGGTGGCCATCGGTCTCCTCCAGGAAGATGCTGTCTTTGTTGGCCTCTCTCGAATGGTTAACGGCGTCTTGGCGACATGACGTCTCGTCCTCCGGCTGGCACGTACAATGCCTGACGAGCATAGGCAGTCGGCCGGTTGGCTTGGTGATTGGGGATCCAACGGGAGCGCCGCTCCTCTTGTCAGCTCCGGCGCCGGCCACGCCAGCCCTCCTGTTGCCCGATGAGTCGCCGAGCCCATTAGTCACGCTGCTGCCCGAAGGGACGACCAAAGGGTCCGCACTTGAAGGACGGGACTCG